TTTATAATTTTAATATTGACTAATATAATAAAGTTTAAGTTTTTAATATAATAAACTTGTCTGCTCTTGAATTAGTTTTCTGTATGAATACTATTTTAATTATTTTATTATATCTTGAATCTTCTATATAAATTTTCCTGATATATTACACTATGTAACTAGAAGATTATAATAATTTATTTATATAAAAAAAATAAATATAAAATATAAATTATTAATTCTAAAATATATATAAGTTAAATATAATTAAAGAAATTAATTATTTTATATTATATTTTTAAAAACTTAATTATACTTAATTTAATAATATATAAATAATAAATAATAATATAAATAAGAATAAAGAAGAATAAATAAAATATAAAAGAAATAATTAAAAAATATTAATTAAAATATTAATTATATAAATTATTAATTAGAAAATATATAATAATTATCTATATAATAATATATATTAATCTAAATTAATTAAATATATTATAATTATCTGTATATTTAAAATAAAATTAATTTTTATAAAAAGTAATACAAATTAATAAATATAATAAAATAATATAAAATAAAAATTTAATCTAAAAAGAATATAATCTAATTAAATTATTATATATTCTTTTATTTAAAATATAATTTTCTTATTATATTCAATTATATAAATTTTTAAAGATTTTGCTTTTTCATAAGATTCTTAGATAATATTATAAAATAAATAATCTAGTTATTTAATAAAATATTAAGATATTTATAATGAATTCTTTTTATCAAGAATATTTTTAATTTTATAATTTTCTTTATTATCTGAGATGATAATAATAAGTTATAATTATAGAAAGCAGTTTCTCTATTTATATCAATTATCTAAATATTATATAATATTTATCAAAAAAATTAATTATATTTTATAAAATAAAATTCTAAAAAAGTAAAAAAAATATAAAAAAATATAACTGAGTCTGATTGTAATATAGTTAAAAGATAATAATATAAAGTTTATGATAAGTTATAGTTTATATCTTTTATTGTGAATTTTATTAACTATTCATTTTAAGTATAAAAAATATTATTATTATTATATATTGCTTAAAAATGACGAGATAACAAGTAATTTATTGTAAATATAATTTATTTCTGTATTAGCATGCATTTTATTAATGCGATTTCTTAAATTAGTTTACTTTAATCTATGAGAAATATATTCATCTAAGTTTTTTAATAAAGATAAATTAGCTATTTTAGAAAATCAAATTCACAGATACACATCATTGGAAATGTCAAAGAGTAAAATTCAGAATTTTCTCTATATATAAAGGTTTTACATCAAAATAAAGATAAAAATCTATATTTTACAATTAAAAAAATTCTTTTCAAAGAAACCTGAAAAATATATATGCGAAACTATATGTTCATATCTTTTTTTTTGATATAAAACGAAAACTATTTATTAATAAATTAGCAACTTTTATATATAGATAAATCACAATTTTTACTTTTTTTTACATTTTCTTAAAGATTTGTTATATTTATTTATTAATGCAGTAGTAAATAAATAATTAATTTTGAAAAATATTGTTATAGCTGTAGCTTTTTCTTGAAAAACGTGCCATATAAACCTGGCGCACTATATATGTACGCGTGTGTAGTACCTATAATTGACCTTGTTCTATAACATTTACGCGATTTTTGCTCATTTCGCATACACAATTGATTATTTTCTTAATATTCATTACGATTTTATTATTTTCATTGTAAATTATGACGTCCAGTGGTAAGCATCTTAGTTCTAAATTTGTAGTCTTTCAACAGCCTGTGTAACTCCGGACTTCATTCACGTATCATAGCCAAAAAACACAGCAAAACATGCATATTAAATGGTATGAAGAAAAATCAAATAAATTGATTTATAACTAGGCGAAGCTCATATTCTCTGATGAAACAAGTATTGAAATTGGCAAGTGATCTCAGCAACTAAGGGTTTGGCGACATACTGGAGAAAAGTTTAATGCAGATTGTTTGGCTCTTATTTTTAAAAGTTGACTATGATGGTTTGTAGATGTTTTCGTGGAGAAATTAAAAGACTTTAGTATTTGTGATGAAACCAAGAGAAATGGAGAAAAAATAAATGCAAATACATAGCTTGAAATTCTATAAACTAATTTATTAATGTACCATTTTATCATGCAATTAAGGAGATAACGAGAATGACGTAACTTTCCAACAAAGATGATGTGCAGATCCACATTACCGGAAGAATTGAGAATTGGTTAACAGAAAATAAAATCGCAACTATTAACTGGCTAGCCAATTCACCCGACCTAAACCCAATTAAAAATATCAGAAAGTTTGTTAAAGGACAATATCCAAAAGTACGGGATCTTTCCGAAGTCTGTGAATAAACTTTAAAATGGCGTTAAAAAAGTAGAAAAAATATGATTAACTATTTTAGAGGGGTTATTTATTCAATGCCGAGTTAATGCAGTGTTGGACTCGAAGGAAGACCAACGAAATATTAACTAAATATTATATTATATTAGCGTATAATTGTCTAAAATAAATAAATTGGAATTTTATTCTTATTCTTCTAAATCAGGCGATACTTATGTATTCTGATCGTTAAATTTCGAAAATATTAAATTTCAAATAAAAACTAAACATTATAGGGAATAAGTTAAATTTTTTCTACATACATGAATATGCGAAATTAACAAGTAACAATTTAATTATATAGTGAATTTAATTTAGTATAAGAAGGTCAGTTAATTAAAAAAAATTTATTTTTAGTTATATAGATATAGATAAAACATTGTCCGATTAAGAATTTAATTGTTAATTGTTTATTTTTCGATAATACTTTTGGCAGGGTCGTCCGCCTTAAATCCTGTTTTTGCTCCATCTGCATCGATATCATTTTCAACAACGGCATTAACGTCATAACTATCATTAATACCGAGTTCAGAAATACTTCCGGTGACAGCCTTTTTCGAAAGCGGAAGCGCGATGGTATTAAAGAAAATATTGAGTCCTAACAAAATGACAAAGGAAAATTTCGAGATATACATGGTTGCTGTATGAGAAAAGTAACTTTTTTCAAAATTGTTTATAGGGCAAGTAGTCAATTTATAAGAAATTCATTATAGATGTTATAAAAGTCAACCCAGTTAGAGAAAGAATTTAAATGGCTAATGCATATCGTTATGTTTGTAATCACTCCTTCATTTCTGTATGCATGTACATGTAGCGTTAATGGGGCAAAAATATAATCGTATTACATATACATGTAGATACACGTTACAGTTCGTATGTATTGATGTCTTTCTCGTTCTTAAAAAAGAGCATTGTACAATATGTATAATGCATCGGAAAGCCCCCATTTGTCCCATCTCTAATCATTGCTCAAACGAATGTTCTTGAAAGTAATCTGCTCTTTAGAACAGTATTTGTACTCTTACCAAAGAAGCATTACTTCAGGAAGATAATGCTCCAATTCACAAGTGTAACCTTGTGAAAGGACTTCCTTCATAATCGTCAATCTTAGTCCAATAAATATATGTGAAGTGAAGTCAAGGGTCTTTGGATTGGATGGTTCATCTGTAAACTTTGAACTTGTAGAATAGATAAATGTATTGTTATCTTTCCTCGAAAAATCTATAAGTCACTAACAGTGTTGATCATAACATAAATAACATTGATTTCATATTACAAGTCATCATTTTTAAATAATATACATATGCAATGCTATTTAATTTATCATTACATTGAATTATATGACAAATAAAAATCCTAAAGTATTATTACAGTGAAACTTGAATATTGAGACTCAATTCTGAACTATATAGTTTAAAAATTTTCTGTTGTGAGAGCTTCTTAGAAATATGAACGTCTCTAGAATTCGATATTGTTTTCGCATCATTGATGCACATGTGCAAGTACTATCTAAAGAATGTTTCAAGGATATTCGTTGATGCAATGCTCTTTTTTTAAAGAGCTAGTAAAAAAGTTTATTTTATTCGTATAAATTTACTATTAACATTAAGGATTAAAAATGGTTCATGTGTATTTTAATTTTTTGTCAGAAATGAAAAATGCAAAATAATATCGTTTTTGAAATTAATGATAATCATCATAAGTATTTATTGTAATCCATAGAAATCTGCATTAAAAATGGCACAATTCTTTTATTATGCAGTATATACATGTACATGTACATTTACTTTTATTCACATACTGGCTTATCACATCAATACATGTAATGAATATTCTTTGTAAATAGACTTTTGGTTTACAAATTTTTAAAATTTTATACAACAATTATGCATATTTTGAAATTTCTTTTATCACTTTGTTGGGGCTAAATATTTTCTCTAATACCATCGCGCTCCCGCTTTCGCAAAGGGATGTCAACGGTAAACTCACTCTGGGCGATCTTGCAGTGTCTGCACACTCAAATCAGGTCTATTACGCTGAGCTTGATCAAGGGGGAGCCAAACAATACCGGTGTCGACGTATGAACAATTAGCAATTAAATTTCTAATCATACAATATTTTATCTTTATCTATATATTTTCAATATAAATTCTTTTTGAAGAAACTGACATTCTAATACTAAATTAAAATACACTATATAATTTAGCCATTACATAATAATAACTGTTAATTTCGCATATATATGTTGAAAGTTAGAAAAATTTCAATTTCAAAAACCTATTCTCTATAATGTTCATTCATATTGTAATTTCGAAAATTAACGGTCGGAATATATGTATTTATAATAAATGCTTTGAATAAATTTTTTTGATATTTGTATTGCGTATTAGTAATGTATGTA